TTATGTAAAACACGCATTGCAACGGTTTTGTTCATTTTATGATTTTATCATGTTGATTGGAGTTACTATAACACATGTATACACGGTGTCGAACACGTGCTTACTCGGTGTTTATGTAGACCGTCAATTTCATTGGCTATTATATTTATAAAATACCTGTTCTACAGGTACTCGATTTGAATCATTTGACCGAATTTTCCTTTCTAAGGAAATGGGCGTGTCTAAAGGTAACTCAAAACGTTCCATTCAAACAGAAAATTTTACCACTTCAATGCGCTTCATTGTATATTAACTTACAAATTTAAAAATTCTCATATGTAAAGCGTATTTAAATGTAGATTTTTAGGCAATTTTTGAATACCCCTATCACCCCACCCCTTCCTTTTTTGCGTCGCAGACCATTAGCGTTTGACGAAAAGTCGTTCTGATATACTGGTATTTCGTCAGGAATCCCGGTATGCATTAATTTTTAAATTCATGAATGCAGAATAAATATTGACTACTCTTTTTATATGTATCAGGAAAAAATTACTGAAAGATTTTAGTGTTTAGTCCATATACGTATGCGTTATGCATTCCATATCACATGAAACCTGGATACGAATTCAAGTTTTGTTGAACTTGAATATGTTGATTTTTGATTTTATTTCTTTAATTTTATTCATTAAAAAATTGTATATGTTCAACTCTCCTGTGATATAAATGGAATAATTGTAATTTCTTTCATGTCATTATTTTCAAACGAGACAGTATATGGCCGTGGGGATACATCGGCATTAGCATTAGATGTACACCCCTCATGACATTATACGCATTTCTTTCAATGTCGTGTCGCTTCTAAAGTTAAAATGAAAATTCCGTATTCGTCCACATTAACTTCAAAATATCAAACATTAAACTCTTCGTCTATTTCAATTTATATCAAATCGCACATTGATATTTTTAAAAATCTTACAGGCTACGTTTTGTTTTGATTCGAGGAAATGCGAACCGACATTGTTGACAGAATGTCAAAGTTACGATTAGCTGCAATAGGATATTCATAATGATAAATGCAGATAACTTCAGTACAAGTGAACAATTCTTTTCAATTCTATACTTACATTGTGTATATGAGGTCTATAGTATTCAATTCTCGGATTTATCAGGTCTTGCTGTAAATGTATCTGATTCTGTGGAAAACCGTGAATAAAGGGAGGAAAATAAACATCTCCTACATTTTCAGAGTTATTCCTCTTTGATCAGTAAGGATCTGAGAACAACATCGATTTTACATTGTAAAAAGTTTTTTGTTTATTTATTGTTGTTTTAGAGAAAACAATATTTATATCGTGTATGTACAAATTGTAATGAAGACCATTAATCGGAATATTATATAGCTAATTGTACACAATGAGAATTTCGGCAATGTAAAATATAATTTTCTGAATTAAAAAAATGCTGCGCTTTGATCAAAAATACAATTTATTGTATATGAAATGAAATGAAATAAACATTAAGGGTTGGTATTTTATGTCTTGCTTTTTACGGAGTTTAATCGGGTTAATTAAAAAAAAAAAAAACTTTTGGATTGAGTATGGTACGCACAATCACAGCCAAGCCCCATATCGCAATATTTTCTTTCATGATTGATATACATCGGGATCGTTTTACTCGTCGTTTTGACGCTTTATTTTTGACGTTAAATTTGACGTAACGTCAAACGTTCAATTGAAATCGCAAGAGTTCTGTCCCCAGTGTGTTGTACGTCTTTAAGCGTAAAAACGTCAAAAATTTGAGGCGTAACAAATTAGACTAGATATCCAAATTTTGCTCCTGCTTTCTTAAAAATGTCTTCTTTTTTTAGTGTTTCTAAATACAAAATTTTATTCATTTGCACATTTTAAAAATAAGGTTTTATCTGTTACAAGTTTTCCCAATAAATAGAAAATACAGCTCATATCGGTGCTATACGCCTGCTTAAATACCATCATACGCATATCTGTATCGTAGTAACAAAACTGACTAGACATCAAAATCGCTCTATTAATCTCTCTTACTAATTGCTAATAATTTTTCGTGGAAATTTTGACTGCTTCTTGATTTGCACATTTCATTAACGAAAATAACCTGTTATATAGTAAAAATACATACGGTACAACCTAATTAATTTTCTCTCGACACTGTTTTTCTTTAGCTTCTCCGAAGATTTGCCGCACTTTCGTAGATTTAGAAATGGGTATTAACCATTAAATATGTTTAAATGCATCAAGGAAAATACAATGTAGTTTGATTCATAAGATATTACTGGCAAGTAGGATCGCAGCAGTATTTTTAATACTCAACTACAAACCATACACTGACAATTAATTCATGTACTGTAGTACTGGAATTTCTGTCTTCAAAAACCGAGAAAAAAAATGCATTATATACTAACAATGTTTGTAAGTATGGTGTAACATTTAAAAAATAAGGAAGGAAATTTAGGAGTCTGAAATAACATTTACAATTCAAATATTACACAAGGAAAAGCAACATATTTTCACAGGATTTCTTCCTTGTATCATCAGTTCAACCCCCCCCCTCCCCATTGAATCCCTTTGATATTTCTTGTACAGCCATTAGTAGTACATGAAATAGTGAGGAGACCCACTGCCAGCACAGCTTAGAATTTTAGCAAAAAGAAATCACAGACAAGTGATGAATTAAACAAATGGATTGAGTTTTTCACATCGAAATGTAAAACAAAAAAAAAGTCCTATACGGAGCCAGGCAAGCGCCAGTAAGCACTGTTGTTGATAGTCAGAAGTTTGCATAAAGACTGAGAAGCAGAATGTTACGAGGGGTGATCAAAAAGTTCCGCAAACTAATTGAATAACTTCCATACAAGAAACAATATTTGGTTTTAATGTTGATTATATTTTGAATTAATCCTCCCCGATTTTAATGCACATCAACCACCGTTCTGCGCATGCGCATATCACGTGATATTGGCGGTCACGTGACCCCCTCCGTAGCGTTCTGTCACAAAAGTTGAAAGATTTTTCTGAGTTTTATATTTCTTTCCATGTGAGTTAATTTTTATGACAAGAACAGTTCATTTGTCAGAAATGGTCATATCTCGGCAACAGAATGGGTGGATAATAATATCCTTTCCAAAAATAAGCATGGCGACCATTAAAACACAAATCTTCTGTCTCAGGAGAGACCTTTATTCAAGGTGGATAGAGAATGGGTGCATCCTTTTTATCATATCTAATATGTTTAAAATCTAAAGTAAACGATATCTAGGTATTTATTATTTAATACTTATATCATTGTTCAAATATTCAACTATTTTTCAAAGTGCTAATTGGAGGTCTTTGATAGCAAATTGCTTAATTAAATATACATATCTTTTCAAACTTGCTTTCACTGGGCAAGATGACATGTATCATCTTTAACCATCAGCCTTCCTTCACTAAAACGATTAATCCAATCATTAATTGAATTTATAGGAACTAATTTATCTCAATAAACTGTCTACAAATTATTATATGATACTGTAGAGGGATTTCTAAGATATACAATAAATTGTACAGTCGTTTGTTGAACGAGTTCGACTGAGACAACCATTTTTCGTCACAAGTGACCTAAATAGTGACGTCATTTTCACATTGTGACGTCACAAACAAGGAGAGAAACTTTATTCAGCATATGCTATTTATAGAACTTGTGTATGGCTATGTGTGGTACTGAATTTTATTATAATCTTAATTGTGGTTTTCTAGATATATATAGAGATAGTTTGCGAACTTTTTGATCACCCCTTGTATATGTCCATTTTGCCAGATTCTACTTTATAAAAAAAATAACATTTCCAAAATCGAACAAGCTTTAATTGGATTTTACGAAAAATATCAATCATTCATTTTACGCAATCTTCTATATAAGCTTTGATAAGAAAATTGCGGCGATCAATGTCAAAAGTGTTCCTGGTTGTTGCCATGGGAACGTGGCGCCATTACAGTTGTCCGTCTTACAGATGCATTCCTCGGAATTGTAGGACTCGGTGCAGCTGTCCCGGATAAACTGTCCAAACAGCGCTGTGTGATTGGTGTATGTGTTGTTATAGCAACTCCTCACAACTAGGAAACCTGAAAAAAAATTATTGTTTAGTTTTAATCAAAAGATGTGCTTTATAATTTCCTTTTTTTTTTTCCAATTTTAGACATAATTTTTTATTACCTTGACCTCACTTATGTTTAAGTCACAGGAAACATTACGTAATGAATTGGAGTTCTCACGGATCATGAACAAGTTTAGGGGCAAGTCGGAAATTTGTACATTCAATGTCTTAGAAATGCATTTTAGAAAGTATATGTCAACTTTGAAATGCTTTAAAAAATTTTCTTTCACTTCTTTTATATTTGTTTTCCAAGTTTCAGTACTTAACATTTGTATGCAAGTCCCAAGCTTGATTCATGATATTAGAGCCACGAAGGTCATGACACTGTCACACACAGTCAGGTCATGGCCATCAACAAAATTCCAGTGGAGTGATGTAGTTATGACTCCATCATATATCAATTTCATTTGTCATTGCCGTCGGAGTGACCTTGATACTTTTCAAATTTGTATTTTGTTATAAACGTCCCTTCCAGAAATTACAGAACTATTTAAACGCCACCACCTGCTGGGCTGTAAATTTAGATTTACATTTGGGGGCAAAAATGTATGAAATACGTTTTATACTTCGAGCTTAGGAAAATGGGTGATCAATCATTGCTTTCTAGTAATTCACCACAGGAACTGGATTTTATAGCCTGCAATGACTTTATCGATTATAATGTTACCATAGATTTGATCCTCGGTGAGGACTTTTCTGCAGCCTATGGCGTTGGAGGCGCACACCATGCTGAAGTTCGCCATCAATTGCTTACCGCATGTTTTGTTGGCGTTGGAGTTGCAAATGTGACAGGAAATAGCATTAGCTGAAACAACATTAAAATAAGAGGATATGAGTAAAAAATGGCTGCTTTTTCGTTAAACACTAAATCCTCAATAAAGTTAAAAATATATGTGAAACATTTGTTAATGTATAAAGCTGTAAGAAAAAGTTGTGAATGTTTCACCTAGACATTGACCTCCAAGCACGGGACTAAACACTAAACACACGAAGTAAAGACGGTATCGCGTCTTAAGTTCTTGTGTCATCTGGAGTTGGGTCTATTTAATAAGAAAATAAATTATGATGTTCATTACAGGTAGACCCAGCTGTACCAAGAACAGCTCATATTACGAGTATTCTTGTTTATTTATTTTTATCTATGGGAGCCATTGTTAAGAATCTATTTGATCAAACTAATTCAATAAAGTAAATACTAAATAAAAATTGTCATCAACGAATTTGTCACCTCCAATGTCTCTGAAACACCCACCCGTAGTCAAACTATGACGATGAGAACCATCACTGAATTAAGTTCGATCACTATGGGGTTATGTGATTCAATGCTTTGTTCGTCATCTGATTATCTTTGTTCTGTGGAGAGGACAGCAATTAAGGATATCCGATCCTCATCCAGGATGGATAACTCCAAAAATTATTATTTAATTTAAAAAATTTGAAATTGAAAACTTTTCATGCAGCCTTTTTTATTCTTTGCAACTTTATGTGATTCGAAGTTTTTGGAAGTATCACAAGGGTCTTTAAAAAGTTGACATTTGTAGCCTATAAAGGAAACGAGAAGTCTCTGTCGAGACTGAAGCTCTACCGGTTTGTACTTATAGCTAAGAAAGAGAAAAGTACTTAAGCAGTTGGGTATTGAAACTTTACAACAGCAATAAATAGAATACAGATGTAATGATCCTTGATTAAGTCTCTTAATGTTCTTAGTGTAGTCTACTTGCATGCCACATTATATCATGATCAGACTAAAACTGTATTTGGAGTAGCATTTTGAGAGTATTTAACAGAAATTTCTATTTTTTGTAACCAAGGCAATAATGTTCATCGAAGTCAAAAACTGATACACAGAATTGTTTATCTTAGTGAAGTCTACTTGGGTGCCAACTGCCAAGTTAGAGTGAAATCAGACCAAAACTGTAGGAGGAGTAGCATTTTGAAAGAATTTCACAGAAATTTATTTTTAGTAACCACTGCAACACCGTTCAATGAAATCAAAATCAAAAACCGACATATAGAATTATGTATCTTGGTGCATTGGGGGGGGGGGGTTAAAGTAGGAAAAGGACGCCTTGAGGACCCCGTTAATCCATGGCCAAGCCCAGATTGGGGGCTCAGGGAGGCTCTTGAATTTGAGAATTTTACAGGGTAAAAATGAGGTCTACCCTGTATAATTTTTAAAAAGCAAAACTGCGATTTACTCCAACTTTGACAACTTTTTTTAAAAACTCGCCAGTGGGTGGCCTTATATGCCTTCATTTATATCAAAATATTTCGTGAAACATTGGCTGAAAAAGTACCATGGCGGGAAACATGAAAGAATACCAGTCTGAATTAAAGCATGATATAATTGAAATGATGATATTTTGCTCTGGTAGATTCTACTTACCACTTGTAATTAAATAAATTACATAAGTAAATGCAACTACACACAAAGACAAACCAGACACTGGTCGCCACATGGTTGATGATGATGCTATCTACGCGACGTCATCTGTGTACACGTAATATACCGAAGCATTCCGAGTGCTTGCATTTGTTTTAGCCTAACCCGATGAAAATTATAAGTTTAGATATTTGTGATAGATCCTACAGAGAGAAAGGGGAGGGACAGGGGCAACTTTACAAATTGAAAATATTCTTGAAGGGCCCAAAAAGGCTTCAGACGTTTTATTGGGGCCTTAACATTTGCAAGTTATTGTCATCCAACCACCTTTTGTTCTTACCGGCAGGTATATTTGAAAAAAAAATTGAAAAAATTAAGAGTGAGAACATTATCATGAACTAATTAATCTAAATAGTGTGGTGGTTTATACCGTTATTCGCGTATCAATAACTCCAGAATACAAATGAAAAATTGGCAAAATGCACCGACGAGCCAAGGGAAATGATGGATCAACATTATGTAAATTTATTGAGAAAATGATTCAGAACCTTGAGCTCCCTACTTTTTAAAGAGATTTAATGCGCATTTTGTATTTTTAAAACAGTAAATTGTGTGTCGTGTTTTTCTACGCAGAACAGTTTGAAACTAAGTGGTCTGTCTGCATTATTTGTGAGCTCAGTGCCTATATGAAATTAAACTAGTTCTAATTGTAACGGGGACCGTTACAGATGTTCCCCAAACGCTCCCCAAGTCCCTTTTAGTGCCAATTTCCTTTAAAACTTTTTTTATATGCTCAGTATCGCAGGATTTCATAAAAGAATTTTAAAAGCTACGATGATATCAACTTTTTGTCATTTAACGCATTGCACGCAAGCGCACGTGCACGCACATGCAAGGTGATCATGGCATGTTGTCTAAACTATTAACTTATCTTTATATTCAAAGAATCAATAAAAAGTCATAAAAATATACATTTTTTCAAACATATTGTTCATTTTAGGCATTCCATGTGCGCAGGTGCATGCAAGCACGTCCTTGCATTCAATTTTGATAGCAGTATCATTTAGGATTCCATTATACCTATTCATATTCTAAATTTCATCCTGTTCTGTTGAGAAACAAGAAAGTTATAGGCATTTAAAATTTCAGCCAATGAGATTGCAGCACACGTAAATTTACGTGCTTTATGATTATTCTTATATATCATGCTGTAGATCTTCATAATGTATGACTATGTTCAAAATTTCAAAGGATTATGACGTAAAACAAGAAAGATTTTGAGACTTAAATTTCAGCCAATCAGAGCAAAGCGCACGTGCATGCGCCTAAGATCTTGCTATTTTGAGCATGTCATCTTGTCTATACTACTAATATATTCATGCCTTGTGAGTTTCAAAAAAAGTTACGGCTTCATCCATTATATTGGTAATTTCACATGTTGCACGTGTGCGCTCTTGCCAGCTAACACGAATGTACGTGCTTTCATGAAAATTCTTATATATCATGTTGTAGATCTTCATAATGTGTGACTAAATTCAAAATTTCAAAGGATTATGACGTAAAACAAAAAAGATATTGAGACTTTAGTTTTAGCCAATCAGAGCAAAGCGCACGTGCATGCGCGCGAGATCTTGCAATGTTGACCATGTCATCACATCTACACTACTAATATATACTTATATTATGAATATCAAAGCATATAATCAAAAAATAGAAAAGATATGGCTATATCTATTATTTTGGTCATTTCACGTGTTGCACGTGCGCGCACTTGCAAGACGTGCGCTCAAAATGACCTTCGTTCTGCAAATCTACATAACATGCCTATTGACCCTAAAAAGGTTTCACCTAAGTCGGACGTGTAGTTTGCAAGATCACCCGCGGAAAATATTTTCCTAGGAAGAAGAAAAATAATAATAACTAGAATCTTATTGCCATGGCAACAAATAAGTCTTCCGTTCTTCTAAATCTGTAAGAATATGCTTTTTTCTGTGCAAAAAAGATAAATATCATATGTACTCTGAAAGAAAAAAAAACTGCAGAAAGGTCTTTCAGTACTTAAGGTACTTTGATTTTCATGATTAATCTTGTTCTGATGCATTTTGGTACTCAAAAGAGCTACACGTGTATCATAGACAAACCAACAGACGAACGAACACCGTACTCTCATAAAATTCACTTTATTTTTGTTCTGGCACAATTGTGATGGTGTTATAAAAATGTCATGAACTAAGTTAGTACCTCATTAAACATAAAGTCGTTGATTTTTTCAAATGATAATATCGAGAATTGCCAGCAGAAGGATTATTCAATTACAGGAATTATTCAGCAATCGATTAATATTGATTATATCTTGTTTAACGTCCCTCTCGAGAATTTTTCGCATGGAGAAGCCTCCACTCGCTGGTGGAGACTGCAAAATGTTGTCCTATAATTTTGCGCTTATCGCCATTGAGCAGTGAGGAATCTTTTTGAGCCAGTACCATCAGACATACGGGACCTCGAAGGACCGGTGTCCACGTCCACAATTGAAGTCCATAATACAGATATATGATGCTCTAGCCATGTTTTTATTTTATTTTTCATTTCACAAATTTGTTGCATCAAATTTTCTTAAAGATCATACTTAATAAGGATCATTTCGAATTTTATTGCAATGCATAAAGCGTCAGGTGATTTTGATTAATAGGTCAATACATGTACACTTCGTGTGATACTTCCGAAGAAGAAAAATATACATAGAATGACTATGATGGATGATGAAATCAGAAAATATTTAATAAAGAATTGGTACAACTGATATAGAACTGATTTTTTGTCTATGTAAATGGATTAAAAGGGAATCTCTCTCTCTCTCTCTCTCTCTCTCAGACATATAAATTTCAGTATCTTGCGTTATGAAAAATCTACTGAAAGAATATGAATTCTGTATACATGTTAATGGTAATTATAACCAAATGTTCCAGATTTAATTGTATAACGAATTTGTAATTAAAAGGCCTATAGTTGCAATAATGTCTCCGAATATAAAATCAAGAGGGGGGGGGGGGGGGCTTCAAAAGAATTACATACTCGGTAATTTTATGTTTTATGAATTAAAAGGAAAATACTTAAGGTTGCATGTACATACATATAATTATATAGCATTGCATAAAATTGTGTTCATTCGTATACTTTATCTAACATATCAACAGACCTTTGCAGATGTTTTTGTATCATGTTTTAGCGTAGCATTATTTCACACAGAATCGCATAACTTTAACATAATGTTAACCCTTTGAGTACTAGTATTTCACAAAAATCCAAGAATCGCTTTTTCTCATCTTTAATAACTTCTCGGGTATATAAAAGTATAGATCATGTATAATAAATAACATTATAAGACTATTAATCAATGAAATATACGTGTTAAAACCAAATCCAATCTATAGATTGCTTTTCTTTCTTTTAAGTTGCAGATATCAATTTATTTCTAAAGGCTTTACACCTACTCTTCTATCTCTCAGTTCCCTTTTGAGTACATATATTATTTTAGAATCGAAAATAAAACTCGAATTCCGGGATAATTTCGCATTCAAATTAGAGAATGAATTAAGAATATTTTTTTTAAACATAATCAAAACAGAAATTACAGATTTACACTACGCTGACAACTTTAAACTATGCATATACTGAAAGCAGTAACCAACGTCATCTTTCATGCAGAAGTGGATATGGAATCTCAAAGTCTACATATTTTTTTTTATGTGAAAAGTGTGGATATAGACGTCTGCGACGTCATGGATACTACCTCCGCCTTTATCTCGAAAGTTCTATTCCCACTTACAAGTCAGAGTTATCTATCTTTGCTCATTGTCACTACGTAAATAGAGAAAATGAATTTATTGAGGGAACCTTAAATCTCCAAAATGCAGAATCCGATTGAATAAATAATATGTTTAGTATTTTTGTAGAATAATTTGTATATACATCGCTGAAATGTATACTGCGTACAATATTACTTTCTTCAAAGTGCTTAGTTGACACAGAATGGATATTTTTTTTAAGATATAAATTTGTAAATCAAAAACTTTCAATATACAGACTAACACTACACAGCCAAATTTAAACTAATATGCATATAGTGAATTAAGTAACATGCAAAAGAGAGAATATTGAATGTGTAAATATGTTGACCTGGAGAGCGTATATATGTCTCCAACGTCATCAATACTATTTCCGCCTTTATCTCGAAAGTTCTATTCTCATTCACAGGTCAGAGTTATCTTTCTTTGCCCACCTTATACATACTACGTAAATAGAGAAAATTTCGGTACCGAAAATATACAAAATGCGGAATCTGAATTAAAAACAAATTATATATTTAGTATTTGTAGAAAAATGTCTGTTTTACATAAGAATATCTTGAAAAAATATCTAAAAACAAAAAAATCAAAAATTGACTAAAAACAAATTCACTTCCGGTTCGGACAGGAAGTACTGGAAACACACGAAAACAACGTCAAAACAAATAGAATATCATGATCTAACACTCCTGTAAATTTCATATCTTTAAATCAAACCGTTTCCAAGAAAACTGCCGGACAAAAGTCCATTTTAAAATTCGAAAATCGGCCATAACTTCGGACCGGAAGTGAATTTTTCAAAAAACGGAATTTTATATAAACTTCATATATAAACCTACTTACATGAGAAAAATTGTGAAAATCTATCCAGCCATCTCTGAGTAATCGCGCTCACAAAATTTGGGAGGAATAATAATAATAATAATAATAATAATAAAAAGAAACAATACAAACACTATAAGTCTTCCGTTGTGAACGGAAGACTTAATAATAAGAAACAGAGTAAAAACAATATGTTCCCCAACTTCGTTTGGGGAACATAACAAGGAATATCATAACATGACTTGGCATTGATCTCTTTGCGCTCAGAATATGATGTACTAGTATTATTTTATTCATTTACTCCTCCGATTTATTTAGGGTTAGCTAACCATGCTCAAGAACTATGATTTACCCTTTTTGCACTGAGGCAGTACGTAAGCAGATGTGTTTTGAAGATGCCTTCAAACTTGAAGTTTTATTTGCTGAATGATTCTTTGATGTAACACCCATATTATACAGACGAGACTGTACGGTCAATTTCACAGGGTTGTCATGTACAGACTAAATATATTGTTTGAAGTGTTTGGCCCAATTCTTAATTCATATTATCTGTATGCTTTGTTTAAAACAATATTAGTTTTAAAACTTAAGATAAAAAGTCTGTGTATTGACCAATGCCCATCCTTATGAAGTTTATGATGAATTATAAAGGGCTATGACTGTCATAGCCATTATAAAGTCATGTGTCTTGCGAGTCCTATACTGTACATCTGCATCTCCTTATAGGTTTGCCCCCCCCCCCCCTCCCCCCTTCCCGGTCCTAACAATTGAGGCAGAAGTAACTAAATAATTAACAAAAAAACGTAACTGATTTCACAAAATAGTATGCTTCAAAGTACATTGGTCAATATAGCCTAAAATTTTACAGAGATTCGGAATACAAATGTATTACAAAATCTAAAATATGCTCAAAATGATTAAAGAAAGGTAAATAAATACACACATTATGCGATTCAGTTTCGAATTAAGAAAGAAATAATCATCAAAATATTTCAAGAAAAAAAGATATCATTTAAAATGCATGTTTTTGAATGCTTGTTCATTTATTACAACTTCAAATAAGATCACTTAGTAAAAGGCACGTAAATCTATGTGAATTCAAGTGAGTATATCTATAAGAAAAAAAATTATGCGAACCAACTACAAAATGTAGTACACGAGGAAAAATGAATAGCAACGAAGCTTTTCTAAGTAATGATTATTATGAATTAATTGTGGGAACGACAATGTGTTGTTACAGTATGTCTTTAATGTAGATGACGAATACCTTTCGATTATTTTGCGCAATATTAAACTGCGCTTTAGCATCATCTTGAATATATTAATAGAGATCAAAGGAATAGTTTTGTTATGATTTTCTCAACTTAGGTTACATAAATGTGACAGAGCAGTTTTAAACAAGTCATCAATGAATTGAGAATTTACCACCATATAATGCTTCAGTCTTAAATATATATATTTTCCACTAAATACATGCATAGTTCAAGAAGTGATTTATTTCATATGTACCTTTCGTTTAAAATGAATTAGATAAGCTCATTATTTACACTTTTATGCAATAAAAATTTCTCAATGTTCAAAATCATTTTCATTTAGCATATAGAGGGCCATTTAAGCCTTCTGTAAAGATTTTAAATTAGAAATCAGCTCTCATCTTTAATCAAATGTACATAACGTATACTGTACAGTAGTGGATTTCACAGTTTAAGGGGACCCACCTGGCGCTAGCTGCAGAAGTGTAGCGTTATGGTTTTATATATGTCTTTGGTCAAAGTGTAAAAAATAAAACCATAATGTAACAGTTCTGCAGCTAACCCTGTGCCCTCTAAAATTGTCAAAGAAACCATTCAAGAGACTTTCATCCGACAAAATCACGTACATACGATATTAGTGAAAGCTATTCAACTTCACCAAATACTTTTGACTTCAAACTTTCCTGTGACTGAGGATGCTTCCATGTGAAAATGATAAATCATGACTCTGCTGTTATAGAAAAAAAAAAAGAAAATTAATTTTTTTTATGTATTCTCTTTGTTAAACTCCCATAGTGGGTCGTCCTACCTCCGGGAGTAAATCTACACCCAGGTGAGCCAAAATGATATTAAGTTAGTTGACAAATGTATGTGAGGACCATCTGCTCTTTGAATCATATTTCAGGGGAAAAGATAATTCAACTGAAAGCTGAAACATGGAATTACGTATCATGCCTTGTTTACTAAAGCATCTTATTTCATTGAAATGGAGTCCTGTCTGAAAATTGTCCACAAATACTTTTTAATACTCACACAGTACCATTGCATGAAGCTGATTAAGCTTTTTGACTCGTTCAGCTTAAAAAAAAAACTTTTTTGTTCAATCTTAATAACCAGTTAAACACAATTAAATCAACACAATAAATATAAGAATTTTTAATAGCATATTCTTATGAAAAATTTCATACACTGCATTCTGGTATATACCAGTATATAACTGGGAAATTATCACATTAAAGCTTTTTCTAGTATGCTGGAAAAAGAAATGAAAGTGTGGGTACAATGGGTTCATATGAGATGAAATATTAAAAGCACAATACCATGTTACATGTATATACAGGCAATTATTGTATATAAGAATGTAATTTGAATGCGATATGACAGCAAAGCTTTTGCAAACATTTTTATTTAATTTAGCTGTAAACTATTTTCACTGATTTTTTTTACTAAGTACATCAAGAATGAACTTACAGTTTGAAAATTATACATATATATATATCTATTGAAAGAAAAAAAAATCTGTATCACATCTTATTTTTTTCTTTTCAGTAACATGTATTGAGAATCTGATATATATACCTATATAAAATTTCTTAACTCAATGGGAAAAAAAAGAAGAAAAGAAACTCAAATATTAAAATTACAGTTTTATAACTTTGTTGATGAAAATCAAAATAAAGCAAGGTCTTAAACCAAAACACATTCAAAAAGAGACTTGGTAAAGGATAGAATTTGAAACTGTCTTGTAATGACAAAATGACCAGTGTATAATGAGTGGCTAAACATGTCCCCCATTCAAAATAAAAGCGATATGACTTATGAATCATGAATATGAAATTTTTAACCTCTTAATCGGCCTCGGCACGATCTACAATATATGTATATACAATTATACCGGTATATCCCCTGACCTGCAAGGGCAGTAGGTTAAAGAAGACAGCATTTGATATAAAATACGATAAATTACTGTAAACTTAATTTTCCCCTGGGGTCACAATTCTGTTGATTCACAATTTCAGTTCAATCTGCTGGGAAAAAAATCAAGCAGAGATACCAAATTGCCTTGAATGCACCTTATGTACACTGTGACATACTTCTGCATAAAATTTGTGACTGCATACAAAGCATGAATTAATCCCACAAAAAGATAGCTTGTATACAGTATTACAGTTGTTTCCCTTATTCAAATGTGAAACGTGTTCAAAAAATAAAAATGGAAGACACCTTAACATTTTTAAAAATGTATCAATGTGTATGAATATATAGTTACATATAAATTTACATATAATATATATATGTTAATAAAACTGCATAAAAATTACACAAGGCTATATGAAAAAAATATACTTATATAATAAATGAAATATATATTCTAAAAGGTAGAAAAATAAGTTCAAATCACCTGATTACCAGTGCAAATTTAACTCATAATTGCTGGACACATTCATGGATACTTGATTTTCATGAATTGAAAAAGACAGATCTAAATTTAACACTATTAATTCTGTAAAAATTCTGCTCTTTTTTTTTTTCAAGAATCAAATTTCCTAATCTTTCTAAACAGTCGAAGATGATTCCATTCCACAAAAATACCAGCATGTAAAAAGCAAAGCATGCAGATCTATGGAAGATCTGATATTGGTTCGGAGTTCAAAATCTTTTCATATAGGGTTTCCTGTTAGTTCAGGACCAGGTTGTGATGTAGCTGGCTTTGCTGTTTGTTCAGGTTCTGATGAAGGTTCAGGTTCTGATGATGGTTCAGGTTCTGATGATGGCTCAGGTTGATTGTCAGTACTAGCTGGTGTTGTTTTTAGTGTGGGATATGTTTCATTATACCTTGGTGCTGGAATTGTGGGATATGTTTCATTATACCTTGGTGATGAAGTTGACGCAGGATTTGTTTCATTATAGCTTGGTGTTGTAGTCGTCGGATAAGTTCCTGTGTATGGACTAGGGGTACCAGCAATATCAAAATCCAAACCTATGATGGTGAAAAAGGGAGATGATTTTAAATGTCTTTAACAGTCTAAAATTCAAATCTGGTAAGGAAATAAATATTGAAAAAAATATTTTCACATAAATTTGAGTCTCATAATCATGCTGTAAGCTCAACTTCTTTACAATTTTTTTTTTCAGTTGTTATTTCTCTTCCCCCTCCTCTCTCCAAATTGTTTAAAAATCTTGAACTCTTTGTTAACTTAACTTTTTAGGCAACAGAAGATTTCATGGCATATTGTTTGAGGGGAAGACATATAAAAATATAAGTTCAAGCAAATCTCAGTGAGTCAATAAACAAACACTTACCTGTTATCCTGCTTATCCAGGCTAGATCACTTGGAACACCCTGGTACATAGCTGGTAGGTACTCATGATAAACACAGCCTGTTGGACCACGAGAAGTCACCCCTAGAAGCTTCCAGTAACCCTTATCATCCTGACACACCAGGGGTCCCCCTGAGTCACCCTGTACAAGAATAATTACCAAAAAAAATTTACTATATATGGAGGAATAATGCACTGGAAGGATTTTTTATTGCTCAGAAAAGGGTGTGTATTATACACCAGTTTGGTTTTGGCCCCTTTTTCTGCTACGTAAAACCTGAATTTATTTGTTTCATACTGTAATTCATTTGACCCTTAGACGTTTAGAGTTGGATAGCAGTACTCAATATCCGTAATCATATTGAGTAGTTGTTTCAAAATGACCAGTAAATACAGTGTCATTAACAATGGTATCCTATCACTATTAAATGAATATTCTATCTGTATCTTAAATGAATCTCTTCAGTGAATTCAATGAAAATCAATAGTTTCAAACATTACTGTAGATCACTAAATTTTCGCGACACCTAATTTTCGCGAGATAGTCATTGACTCTTGATTAGCGAGACAAAATTTTCACGAATTCTGGTTATTGCTCTATATAATCTTAAGGAATACTATTATGCGCGAGAATTTAATTTTCGCGAGCATACTGTCTCGCGTAATTACGCTAAAATAAAGTTCTCGCGAATAAAAAGTGATTTACAGTATTATCATGAAAAAGATCACGAAGTTTTTCTTAAACTTCTTTTGCTCTCATAAAAGAGTCAGATTTTATTATTTAGTCTATTAATAGTCCCTATTAATCTATATAAATGTAAATGGTTCGTAGCACTACATATTCACTGGATTTAAAACTGTATTCACTGGGGGTCAGTGTGCATTCCGCGACCTTTTGACATCACAATCTTTCAATGGAGAATATGGTTTGTTACTCACCAGAAAAATATCAATATTGACTGAGGCAAACAAAAGATATTCATCATCAAAAAAGTCCATAATTTACAATATGATAAAATTTATCAAAATGAAAACAGCTTTCATGCAACTCATCAGAAGGTTAGGCAATGTCTGACTGTTTAACTCATTGGTGGCTACACTACACTTCTAGATGGACAGAAGGATAACTTATGACAGGATTAAAAGGTCACATCATATCGTGGACATACTTTTAAGAGTGCTGCACTTAGATTTTGTAGAGGAAGAACCCTGGGTCAAGGTCAAGCTGAAGAACACTATTTAACACACTCAACATTCTCTAGCATTATTGAGATCTGACCCAGATCCTTTACTTATACCACCACTTACATTACACACTGGTGTCACTATGGAGACCTGACTAAGTTAGTCCTCCCTATCACTTACATTACACACTGGTGTCACTATAGAGACCTGACTAAGTTAGTCCTCCCTACCACTTACATTACACACTGGTGTCACTATAGAGACTTGACAAAGTTAGTCCTCCCTATCACTTACATTACACACAGGTGTCACTATGGAGACCTGACTAAGTTAGTCCTCCCTACCACTTACATTACACAATGGTGTCACTATTGAGACCTGACTAAGTTAGTCCTCCTCACCATTACATTACACACTGGTAGCTCTATGGAGACCTGACTAAGTAAGTCCTGCCTACCACTTACATTACACACGGGTGTCACTATCCAGGCCCCAGGATCACGAAACAAACTTAGACTTAGTCAAATTTTTAATTGCCTGTAAAATATTCATTAATTATGGAATTCATTTAGAAATTTGCAGATAACAATGCTTCTAAGAAGCAATATTGAAAAAAAAATTATTTGATCAGCTTGACTTCTACAACATTTTATAAACAAACAGATATTTTGACTTATGCTTAAGATGTTTCATGATCCCGGGGCCAGATCTGACTAAGTTAGTCTTCCCTATCACTTACATTACACACTGGTGTCACTATTGAGACCTGACTAAGTTAGTCATCCCTATCACTTACATTACACACTGATGTCATGGAGACTTGACTAAGTTATTCCTCACTACCACTTACATTACACACTGGAGAGAATGGTTCTCTGTTATCCACACAGACGACCGAGTCCTGGATCACTACATCAGTAGAGACCCTGGCCCACATCTTACGACACTCCGTGTTATTTACTACCAATACACCTGTCTCTTGTAGAATCTCAGGTAACACCCCTATAAATAAAAAGAAATTGATGGTACACAGACTGTAATCTTGGAACATCTTGAAGGGTTCATCACAATGATCTATTAATGTATATAATTTCATTCATCAATTTATATCAGAAATCCAGAAAAATAAAGTCCCTTACTAGTTCCTCCCTCGTAATGAGATGCTCCCCATCCTGTGACAAAACAGTTACGTAATCCCTCTCTCTGTGTGGCTAGGCAGATTGGTCGGACTCTGTCGTTATAGTATATAGGCCGGGCCAGTCTGAGGAGGGCCATGTCAACATAATACGGAGAGGTGCTCGTGGTATAATCTTCATGTATGTAAACCTGAGCCACGTTTATCAACTGGCCATCAACAGCAAACGCAGTATTGTCAATATTTCCCATTCCTATCTCAAATCTAGAAAAGAAAACAGCATTCAGTCAAACATTTAAATAAGGCACAGTTGCCAAGGAAATGCAAATAAAAATTAATGAAGTTTTGATACCCTTTTTTTAAGGCTGGCAATGTAATTTTAAAGGACTTTGCTTTTTTTGGTCAGCAATGAAATGCTTATAATTTTGAAATCAAATCTTAACACTCATTCAAGGTAAAAAAAGAAGTCTTTTACAATGTTTACTAGTGACTCAATTTTACTTTTGATGTATAATGGCACTCCGCACATTTTTATTACAGTAGGCATTTTGATTATGTTAGTTTAACAAAATTAGTACCTCAGCAAGGCAATATTCATCAGCTATTACCAATTGAATGTTGCAGCTACTGACTTACCCTGAGCCAGAGTCTACACAGTGTGCAGCCGTCAGTATCCAGTCTGGGTGTATGATGCTGCCTCCACAGTTGTGTCGACCCAGGTACTTCAGGGATATCTGCCAGGGCCACTCCCCATTCTGTGCCGCTTTACCAGAGATTACCATATTCTCAGTCTGGGGAACCAAGCTTGGGACACCACATTCTGTTGGAGGCAAAAAAAAGGGTAATACTAGAGGTATTGTGAGCGATGAGCTCACTAAATGATACCCCCCGCCTCCCATATGGTTATAACTGGTGAAAAAGTCCATGTTTTCCTGTGGCCGGGAAACCCAAAAAATTTGTCGAATCAAAAAGTAAAATAGGAGGTGCACAATGGCAATATGTAATAAAGATTCTGTGAAAGTTTCATCAAATTTCATTCAGTGGTATGAGAGGAGTTAATGGGTAAAAGCGTAACAGACGGACGGACGGACGGACGGAATTAACGATTACTATATACCCTCCCGCTTTTCAAGCGGGGGGTATAAAAATCAATCAATGAGTCGATAAACTCCAAAATTGTTTATTTACATATTAGAATGCCACACCATGAATATCACCTTGGATGTTACTGAATAAAAAATCTTGCAATATGACCAACAAGGATATCGATAGATTAAAGGCAAAAAACTTACCAATGGATCTGCAACTCAGCATCAGTGCATTACATGCATACCTATTAAAGATATAGCATACTAAAGATAAAATACAATAAACATCAACACAGAACATGCATACTAATTTATGAAGTGACAACTCAAGCATGATAAAATGACTTTGAATACCGAGATACATCAAAGGTGATTAAAATGTGTTTTATTTCAAATGCTTCAGCTAATGGCAAGAAGCTTCTATCTTAGGGATACCTCCAAGTCAGAATCTCACTCAGAAATACAATGATACAGCATGAGAGCTTTTACTATGTTCCCCAAACGAAGTTGGGGAACATATTGTTTTTACTCTGTTTCTTATTATTGTTATTATTATTCCTGGGAAAATTTTGTCCTTGAGTGATCTTGTAAACTACACATCCGACTAAGGTAAAATGTTTTTAGGGTCAATAGACATGTTATGTAGATTTGCCGAACGAAGGTAATTTTGCGCGCACGTGCTTGCAAGAGCTCGCACGTGCAACATGTAAAATGACCGATTTAATTGATATAGGCGTAACTTTTTAAATTTTTGATGAAATGCTTTGAAACTCATAATGTAAGGATATATTAGTAATATAGACAATATGATATGGTCAAAATAGCAAGATCTCACGCGCATGCACGTGCGCTTTGCTCTGATTGGCTGAAACTAAAGTCTCAATATCTTTCTTGTTTTTTGAGGAGATCCTTTGAAATTTTGAACATAGCCATGCATTAGGATATCCTACAACATGATATATAGAAATTATCATGAAAACATGTGCATGCACGTGCCCTGCAATCTGATTGGCTGAAACTTTAAATAGCTATAACTCCCTTGATTTTCAACCAAACAGGATGGGATTTGGAACATAGATATATAAAATGGACTTTAAAAAATAGGTATGGTCACCATGCACATGCATACACGTTCGTGTACGTGTGCTGCAATCTGATTGGCTGAAACTTTAAAAAGCTATAACTCCCTTGGTTTTCAACCAAACAGGATGGGATTTGGAACATAGATATATAAAATGGACTTCTACAATAAGGTATGGTCACCATGCACATGCATACACGTGCGTGTACGTGAGCTGCAATCTGATTGGCTGAAACTTTAAACAGTTATAACTTCCTTGGTTTTCATAGGATGGGATTTGGAACATAGATATATATATAATGGACATCTACAAGAAGGTATGGTCTCCATGCACATGCATACATGTGCGTGTACGTACGCTGCAATCTGATTGGCTGAAACTTTAAACAGTTTTAACTCCCTTGGTTTTCAACCAAACGGGATGGGATTTAGAACATAGATAGATTTAATGAACTTCTACAAGAAGGTATGGTCACCATGCTCATGTATGCACGTGCGTGCACGTGAAATGGGTAAAATCAAAAATACACTTGAATGAGCAAATTTTTTAATACTTTTGGATTAAATACTTTAATATTTAGTATATTAAAATATATAGATTGTGTAGACAAGATGATATGGTCATTAGATATGCCTTCACATGTGCACACATGCAATGCTAAAATTTGAATGAATGGTATATTTCTGGGTAAACATTGTTAAAATTTCAAATGCATAGAGTTTGTCCTATTTAATGTAGCTTACAGGGAATATGGCACCAAAAGGGAGTTTGGGGTCTATAACGGTCCCCGTTACAATTAGCACTAGTTTTATATGCTTTATAAGTTTTATAAGTTTGAGACATAAAGCCTGCATTTTTCTGTCATTCCTTACCTGGCCTGCAGGACATGATTTGGAATAATATTATTGGGACTGTGTATCGGCAGGGCCTGGTAACCTCCCAGTATATAGCTACCGGAAGTTATATAATGTGCTACAACAGAAGAAAAAATTCTGTTTAACATTCTGCTGATATTGAATTTTTCTCATTCAATGAACAAAAGAATCATGTCTTGAAATTACTTTTTGAAGAAATTTGTCTTCCGAAGGAAAATTAACTGATACCTTAAAAATTTGGAAGAGATTCTTTTTTACATAAATAAATTATTTCAAAACAAATGTCATTCAGAGTCAAAACATAAATGCTCATGAAAATGTAGTAACTAGCAACTGTTCCATTATTTGACTCAAAAATTAAGATTCTTGCAGCTGCAATATCTCTATTTACAACAGATTGTGTAGAATTTTTTACATACCCTCCTCCTGAGATGCTACATAGATACTGAGCTGTTTCTACGGTGATGAAATCTACACACAGGGTCCACCAAGAGTTATCTTTCCATGCCTGCATCATTCCTGCACTTAAACTTCCAGAAGCTGGCCGAACTAAAAAAAAAAGACACTTTCTTCTATATAATGCTTTTGTTTAATATATATCATACCAAAAAAATTATTTGTCAAAAGAAAATTCAGAATCTTTAAGATTAGGCTGAACTATGTATCTTTAAAAAAAATTGTTTGCCCACTCCCGACCGACTGGCTAAAAATGAAGCAAAACCTTTTTTGAACCTTTTGGAGGCATTTTTTTTTTTTTTATGTATTCTGGAAAATTTATTTTAAAAATTTAGCATTTAAAAAGAAATTTTCTAAAAAAAAAAATTCTAAACTACCGATCTACTAAATTTTTTCATCTTAAGTGGGGAGAGGGTAAACAAACATTATTTTATAGTTGAACTTATAAAGATCTCTGATTTTTTTTTTTCACCTACCACATCTGAATTCATCTGAGCCATCTGAGCACTGTTTCAGATTATCACATCGCTGAGACAATGGAACACAGTCATGGTTTCTACATTCAAATTCATCTGCTTTACAATTACCTGTAAAATTCAATTTCTTTATTGATTCACCAAACATGTTGGCATACAACCAAGTTACATACAAAAGACAAATAATAAAATACATACATACATGTCAGTGTATGGATCAGTGAAGTCAACTATGCAGTGTATACAACTTGAAGATTAAACATAATCATTATGGAAGAGGTATGGTATGGACAGTGATGAGCTAATAAATGCATTAAATATACCGAGGGTTGTCCGTAAAATCGTGGACAAGTTGTCTAGTTTGAAAAATAATCATCACTGCGTTCTGATATTTTCACCACTTTTTAGTAGATAAATTATGAATATATAGCAAATTTCAAATAGATATATGCATAGGTAAACAAATTGCGATAATTTATGTTATGTACTGTATCGCCCTATGGCGCACGGATGATAACGTCAAAGTGTCTAAAACAGCGTCACGTTTCATCCTTGCTAAACTAAAAGTTGGATAAGCCCCGCTTAAATTTAGAAATTTTATTGATTTACATATATGAGTATCTATAAGCAGTTAAGAAACCAATGTGGCACACTCATGCGATCTTCAGAATATCTATTAGCAAGTTACAGTCAGTATTCTTACCATCATTCAACTAAAAGAGAATCTCACATTCGACAGTGACAGCGTCCTTTGCTATTACAAATGGCAGTTGTCCATATGTTTTGTACTATCTGGGGACTCGACCACGAAGACTTCACTAAGAAAACTTTCATTTCATTTATATACACTGGTGATATTTTTCATATTTTCTTTCTTCCGTATTCCTTTAAAGTCTCTTACGGCGTCATTACATCCTAATCTATCTGAACTGCTCTCCGGTGCGCGGTCATAAAAAGTCGCCATTTTTCGTGTATTGTGTTTATTACTTTCCCATTTCAATTGCTCGGAAACTGCCAAAAATTAACCGAATCTTGAAATTTTTAAAAATACGACAGAATTGATTAAGGAATTGAATTAGGATAATTTTCATCCTAATCTTATGAATTGAAAACTTTTATTACGAATTAATTCTTATGTCTTCTCTAATATAAACATGCTATTTTTACCGTGCGCCGTAGAACCATACCTTGTGCACATTCAAGCAGAATAAAATCTTTATTTTTGCATATATATTATCAAAAACGATTCACTTAAATATGATGAATAAACATTTACTGAAAATTTCAGCTTAGTGCGCCCATTACTTTTCGACAAAAACGCTTTGTCCACGATTTTATGGGACAACCCTCGTATATATCATAATTGCACTGTATTTTTGGAACACAATTCAAAACATTCATATAAAAATACATATCTAGTATGAACTACATCAGGATTACAAAATACTTTACAATATTTTCTTTAAACAAAATTATGAAATTCAAAAAACCAATGGTCATGTCATTTGTCCTTTTGAAAATTCTCTTTCCATGTATTCATTTACATTTGCTTTTAGGGTTGTATGGAACTTAAATGGTTCTATATAAATCTATTGTATTTCAAAATAATGAAAAACCAAGTCAGAATGATTCAATTTTTATTTATGGAACTTAAATATTTTTGTAAAAATCAGGGTCTTTAAAGATCGCAGATAGAGCGCACAGACCAAGGTTAAAATACCATAAAATCTTATATAAAGATTGGATTAAAATGATTTTTTTCGATATTAAACAAGTCAAAACTTAATGAAAATTATATGTAACATAAATAAAGAAGCTATAATCGTTTTCTGATATCTTAAAAATAACTTTTACTATTGCCAGCATTTTTTTATTTTTAGGTTTACAACACGACGGACTCAAGTTTTTGAATTTTCAGAAAAAAAAATAAAATTGAGAAAAACAGAATTTTTTCTTTCCGATGTCAAATTTGAGTCGGATCGAGATTTCAAATTTACGAACTGATCTCCGGTTTTAAAAATGAAGGGAGATTTGTGTCAAGTCCATAGCAGCACTTAAGCTTGGTTTAATGTAAATATTTATCGATAGAAGTGCTATTCGAAACGTTTCACCCGTTCAGAGAACAATAAAATGCTG